CGAGGATACACACGGGCCAATCTTTGAGCCTTTGCAACTCCCTAACTAGGCCGTTTTTGATAGTGCCAGATATGGTATACGTGGGGGCTCGAATTTATCTGAGGGGGAATCTCAGAAACCATTAAAGATGAAGCGCATGAGCTTGAGGTCAACTGCGAAGCCTTTATCTATACTTCAGTGGTCCTATCTACCATCCTATCGACGTATTCACGTTGTGCCAGATTTTCAAGATCAGGTCAGTAGGATGCTAGGCTGGTTTCGGGCCTGGCAGTGTCTGATGTAAGCGACCCTCGGATCGTGCTTGCAACAACTGCGGTGTTTTCGACTACATCACAACCTCCTCTGAGTCAGGTTATAAATTAAGCACGGCTAAGTTGTAGTAGTAATGCATATCTGATGGCCGCTTAGTGGTTGGCTGCTTTTCGCTTCGACTGACAAGTTTTTGTCGTGGCACTGTCTGCCACCAGATTCCTGCATTCTATTGCTTCCAAATGGGTGTGATTTCAGTGTAGCTTAACTACTTTTGGGAGGACTTTATGAATAACTTTCCCTCCCGCCTCTGGCTGATTTAAAAAAGCCGATGAGGTCTCGCATGTGGAATGTTAAGCAGAAAGAAAAAAAATTATGGTTTTTCTTGAACTTACTTAATCTCAGGTAGCCTTCTCAAAGTAATTATCACATAGTAATGAGTAATATCAATATTTTTCGAAAGATAGATCGTTGAGGGTATTTCTAAAACTGTTTTTTTCAAGTAAATATATTTCAGAGCTCGGGCCTGTCATCACGTTCATCTCTGGGTGCTTCATCGTTGACGGGTGATGATGAGTTTGTTAAGCCGAGTGCACCACCGGTGACACACTCGTTGAATATGGGTGGAATACGGCGTAATTCCGCCAGCGCACCATCAGCTCAATTCAGCTCATTAAATTCGCCTTCTTCTAAATAATTAATTGGAATTTAATAAGTAGCCAGTCACACTTGCCAGCCTTTCGCCACAATAGCCTTATAAAGTGCTGATACAGTGTGCTTTATGTTAGCAGCGATTCCTTTCTCAGGATGAATCACTGTACATACTTAATGTATTCTTAGGTAATTATCGGTACTATGTTGCATTCCTATTGTGTATTGCCTATATGTTTTCAAAAGCTTTACGAGTTCGTGGCGTAGTTGATTTTTCGAGTTGTAAAATGTGTAATTTAATTGAATAGTATGGATTGAAGTACAAATACTTGTGGACTTCTTTGTCATGGTGAAGCTTCAAGAGTGTCGGGTGACATGTGTCCTTATAGTGTGTGTCATGGTGCAGCGTATGTCACGGCGATGTTTGTCTCCTAGCGTATGTCACGGTGATGTTTGTCGGCGGTAGAGATGTTGCTAGTAAGAGGGCTTTAGGGCTTCAGCGTGAAATCGAAGTCTAATAGGTGCGGAGTGTGCTTTTTTCAAGTAGATCTGCATCAGCTTTGTATGCTTTACAAATTTCATATGTCTGTTTTTGGATTTTCTGTGCTGGACGGGTTTTTCTGCTGTTCTCCTCAATTTGTAGTGATTGGCATCATCATCATTAGTGTTACAACTGTAATTCTTGCATTGAGTACATCAATTATGCTGATTTTCGCTCTCCGTTCTATCATCGTTGACTAGAATGGATATCGGTTTGGGGCGTAAAATCGATATCCATTTCGGAGCATGTACCCTAACGAACGGGTTGGTGTACAAACACAGCTTCACCGTTAGTGGTCATAAATGATTACTATGTTCACGTGTATCTGTTTTTGCTCCAGCTTGAATATCTTTGTTTTTGTCTAGCTTTGGTAATTGCTTATATGTTTCAACTACCCTAATTTTTCAGCTTCTATTCATACGTGTTGATTTTGCGCTCACCTTAAGATAAAAATAAATCTGTATCGCTTAATATTTCTTCGAGAAATGTAAAATTGCTTAACTTGCGCTACATAAAGGAATCGCAGTGACCTTTTCGCCCTTCATAGCTACAATTCACTAATATTGAATGGAGGGGTAGTAGCCGCCTGAAGGAGCCGTATATCATAGGTAGCACAGTAGAGACAAGTATACCT